AAACCCTACACACCCTAAACCCTAAAGCCCTAAACCCTAAACAACCCTGAACCCTGAACCCTGAACCCTAAACCCTATAAGCCCTAATGTAGGGGTCTGGCAGAAGCCCTCTTGTCACACCATATTGTAACCGCTCTCATGGCGCTCCGTAGGTGTTGTGGGGTTTGGGTGGCGGAACCCTAAACCCTAAATAGGGTTTAGGGTTTAGGGTTTAGGGCGTCTTTTGGGTCTAGGGCTTTCAGGGTCTGTAGGGCCAGAAGTAGGGTGTAGGGTTTTAGGGTTGAGGGTTTCAGTCGTTCTGAGGTCTTAGGGGAAACCCGAGACGCACAAACCCCTTAATGAAGGAACAGGCTTTCAACCACAATAAGAGACGCCTTCTGTAATTTTAAGGAGCTTTTCTTTAGGAAGGGTTTCGTGAGTCTCTTGCAAGCCCGCTTCGGGCCCCTTTTGGTGTTAGAGGGTTGTTGGTGTTTGATAGCGGGGGTTTCGTTATAGGCTGCTCTATGGAATCTAAGGGTCCTTGGTTTATGGGTTTTGCCAGGTTGCGTGTTGCAAATGGCAATAGGTTGGTCCCAAGGCCACTGCTGCCCCTGCAGGTGCCCATCCTCCAGCCAAGGCTCCTCCACAGACTGCACCATGGGTGGCTGCCATGGTGCCGCCACCCCCCCAGCCTTTGGTGCCAGCCAACCAGGTGACGGCCTTGACCATGGCATGCGGGTGGTACGTTCCAGCGGGAGCGACCACCAACCACATCCTCCAAGTGCCAACAGACGACGAGGCTGACAATTACAATTATCCAGAGCCCACCCACTGGGTCTGGATTGAATGCCAACGTTGCGGCCTTTTGGAAGAAGTTTTGGAGCTGGGGCAGGACCTCTTTGGTGCCTGACCAGATGCCGTGGTCCCTTTGAACCCCCTAGATTCCGAGGGTATGCAATGCTTCTAGCGTATCCTCGTGTGCTGGCAGAATCCGGAGCGGACAGGCTTACAGCAGTTGCCATTGACGACCTGTTCAGGTATCTACGGCAACAGGTGCATGTCGACCCTGATAGGCTCTGGGTCTCCACAGGACGGCAGCAGCTACCTGCCCCTGACAACCAGCCGCTATTGCTTGAAGACGGGGATGACGGTCGTTGAAAGGGGCATTGGGCCTGTGTCAAACGACAGCTACTCGATCCTGTCAGCTGTGATCACTCTACTGTCGGACTAGTGTGCACCAGAGCCTCGTTTGTCTGATAGAGTACACTCTTGCATCTCCGTGTGCCCGTGTTGCTGTTATGTTATCCTGTGATGTGAGTACCTTGCGGCGTATAGGGCATGCTAGTCTTGAAATCCTGCAGCGCAACCTTGAGGAGCCAATGGTTTCCCCTCAAGACCATGTATTAAACCCGAAACCGCCAAGCGCTGAAAGAAGCAAGCCACCAGCGCTTTGTAGGTGGCATTCGCATGTGAGCTCAAGCCCCAAATCCTACGTTAGCCCTAAGCCCAGAGAAGCTGTGTAACAAACTCAACGCCCTAGCCCTGAACCAAGCCCTAAACCCGGAACCGTAAACCTAAACCCTAAAACGACACCTCAACCCTAATAAAATAACCTAAACCTTTAAAACAACCTAAACCGGAAAAAAAACTTTAACCCTAAAAAACCTAACCCCTAAACAACAAAAACTAAACCCTAAACCCTGCCTAGACAAAGCTTCGGAAAGCCCTTTCCTACTCGTAATCCGACCTCAGGTACACCCCCAAAAAAGCTTTAGGGCTTCGGGTCTAGGGTTTGGGGTTTAGGGTTTCAGAAAGGGCTACCGTGGGGCGTGCATTTGTAAAAAGGCACGTTTAACGGTAGTGCAGGCGTTCACTCTAGGGTTTAGGGTCCCTATAAATCCCAGGTTGGGGTTTAGAGTTTAGGGTTTGGGTAGGGTTCAGAACCTGAAAAGCCCTCAGAACCCTTTTTCAAAGCAGTGCGGAGGGTCGTAGCAGGGATTGGTAAGATCCCCTTATAGTCGCATTGTAGTCATACTAAAACCCTAAGGGTCCATGTGCCCAAATAGTATATACGTTGAATACCAAAGTACCTGTATGGGGTCTACGTTAAGGCCAAAGTATATTACTAGTTCGACACATGAACCCTTAGGGAAAGCATACCCCGAAATTAAAATTAGGGCCCCTAAACCATAAACCCTAAACCCTAAACCCTAAACCCTAAACCCAAACCCTAAACCCTAAACCCTAAACCCTAAACCCAAACCCTAAACCCTAAACCGGAAACACCCGAGCGTCCACTCATTGCCAGCTGGGGCCCTCTACCCAGTCTCTCGGCTGCCCTTTGGTTTAGGGCTCGTTGCTTTTAGGGCTCGGGGTTTAGGAGTTTAGGGTTTAAGGGTTTAGGAGTTTAGGGCTTAAGGGTTTAGGAGTTTAGGGTTTAGGTTCGGGGTTTAGGAGTTTAGTGTTTAAGGGTTTAGGAGTTTAGGGTTTAGGGTTTGGGGCTCATGGTCTTCAGGGTGTAGGGCCGATCTGAAGATTCAAAAACCTCCGGTGTCAGGGCCGGGTGAACACGGACTGCTTGCCGGGGATTGGGGCTACAGTCTAGGACATTTTCATGTGAGAAGTTACCGTGAAAGGAGCCTTATAGAAGGTCTATATACCTTCTGGAAGCCTTATAGAAGCTCTTTATACCCTCAACTCCCCACCTGTAGTTTCCTTTAATCCAGGTAGGGCTTACCCTAAGGCTGTAGGGCCTGCCCCGTGAAAGTATGCTGCAAAAGGCTTGTGGATATTGTGCCCTACCTGGACACCATAGCCAGGTCGCTGGGATGGACGCATTCCCTTGACAGCCCTAAACCCTAAACCCCTAAACCCTCAACCCCTGAACCCCTAAATCCAAAACCCCTAAACCCGAAACCCCTAAACCCTAAACCCCTAAACCCTCAACCCCTAAACCCCTAAATCCAAAACCCCTAAGCCCGAAACCCCTTTACCCTAAACCCCTAAACCCTAAACCCCTAAACCCTCAACCCTGAAACCCAAACCCTAAACCGCAGGCTCCTGTACCCGGGGACGCTTGTCGATGTGGATGTTTGGTGGTGCGGGAGAAGCGGCAAAGACTACCCTAAACCCTCAACCCTAAACCGTGACCCTAAACCATAAACCCTAAACCCCAAACCCCGGAAGCAATGCGGTTTAGGGTTTGGGGTTTATAGGGTTTTAGGGTTTAGGGTTTCGGGCGTGGGATTTTTAGGGGTTTGGGGTTTAGGGCTAAACCCTACACCCTAGATGAACCCCAACCTAAAACCCTGAACCCGAAACGCTAGACCCCTAACCCCAAACCTAAAGCCCTAAAAAAAACATAAAGTAAGGGGCTATTGCACTTAAAAGAACAAACAGAAACCCTAAACCCCGAAATCCAAACCCTAAACCTAAGCCTTAAACCCTAAACCC